AATATATATAATTAGATTTATAGAATCTTATTAGATTTATAGAATTGAAAAATACTGAGTATTTACTATAATATTATCAAAAAAAATCTTAAAATATACCCTAAAAACATCAACAATTATTTCAAAGATTATTAATCACTAAGACATCGATTTAAATTTAAACTCCCTAGGTTATATATGATTAAAATCATATAATTAACAGTTTTTCACAAAATTAATATAGAATTTCTGAAATTTTTTTACAAATTTTGAGTGTTTTAATTAATTTACATCAATAAATTAACATTGGTAAGTATTATTATTAATTATTATTATTACCCCGATTATTACTTACGGATACGAAAATACAAAATTAAGATTCAACTATCATTAATCAATTTATTTTAGTTCTCAGTATTGAAAATAAATATTTCTATCATTCAACCAACTGACTGTTCCAGTAAGATAATGCTTTTATATTTTAAAATTAAAAAAAGGCTATAGATAAAGGGCGATAAAGATTTTGTTTTTCATGTGAAAAATCGAGAGTAAAGAAATAGGAATGCCAATGAGTCACAAATGTTTTTACGACACATCACAACAATGCAAGTACAATGCACACCCTGCAGAATCAAATCTTTATAAAGGGTAGGAAAAGATGACGTCAGAGCCAATATATTCGAAAATGTTGAGGGTGTAGTGTAAGTTGTAACGCGAAGTCCTTTTAAAGAATCAGATAACGCATGAAAACATCAACATATTCATAAATGTAAGATAAAAGTAAAAATTATTCAAAACCAAGATAATATAAGTCGTATTTTTAATATTAAATTCACAAACAATAATGTGAGGTCAATTTTGCCTGTTTTTGAAAAAAAAAAAACATGATATGTTAACTTGTGAACGTGTACCCATATGAATTATTCTACATAATATTCTTAAAACTACTTGAGTATATTATGTTCTTTATTAGTCAACTATAAAATAAATAAATTCTTATATGGTCTATATAAAAAGTTCATTATTCTTGTGAATGTAATTTTTTGTTAAAATTCTACACAATACACTACAGAAAATATGTAAGGTATAATGATACTCGTGCAATGAATAAGAATATTTCACTTCAACCAATAATTTAAACCACTTAGATTTTTTTAGCGTTTCTCTACTTATTTAAAACTTTTTGTTATACGAGTATAATAATGAATACATTAATTTTATTTCTTATTCTTCGATTGTCCAAATAATAAGTCAAACTTTATTAAATTTAATTATATTAACCCATAGAATTTTAAATTAAAAACCTATAAATATTTAACTAAAGTTTCAACAAGGAGTATCATATTTTTATGAAAGAGATTATGTGTTGTATGATTTCGATGAATGTTAGCGACTTTTTCGACTGCATAAGCATAAAACTATAAAAGGTCATAAATCCTGAGGTATTTATGATGGATGAGTTCGATAAAAGTTTAATGCCATACCTCCTATACTGAATGATATTATATACCTGCCACCTCTGCATATCACCCCAAATTTATTTTTACTATACATTCATTTCAGCAGAATTCTTAGAATATTATGCCAATAAAACAAAAAGCAATATTTTTTAAAAAAAAAACACCTATATTTTTCTAGCAATTAATAATTAAGTGCTTTAAAATGTATTTAGTGCAATGAATAAGGTATGGGACTGCTTATACTTGCATGCATTTTATAATAATTGTGGAATATTCAAGGTAGGAAAATGAATTAAAACAAATTAATTTTGTGAAAGAACCAACTTTAATACAAATGTCACTATGGAGGTTACTATACATATTTTGTCACAATTTAGGATCAAAGTATTTTTATGCCTTTCATTATATTTTATCTATTGTAATTACATAACATTTTTGTTAAAATATTTAAATTTTTTTATATAAGTATTTGTAAAATAAAATATGTTAATAATATATTGAATACTAATTAAACAACTAAATTTTCAAAATTAAAAAAATATAGCACGTGTATAAAAAACTTATAAAGATACACGTATAACACAATTCCTAACAATTTTTAATTTATATTTATATTTCTCAAAATTAGAATAATACCAGGAATAAAATATATAATTTTCATTTTCATATTAAAATTTTTTTACATTTCATGGAAGTATTCTGAGCAGCACTTAATCGCTTTTATAGTATATAATTTGAAAAATTATATTTTAAAGTTATTAACAGTAAAGAAGTCATCTTTAAAATGTCTATACACAAAACTAAATCAGCAACCAATTTCAATTTTATTTTTATGAAAATTATGATTAAAATTTAATTTATTTTGAAAATTATGGTTAGATACAAGTGAATTAAAATAATATATTTAATAATTAGATCAAATCGAGGAAAAAATACAATTATTCTAATAAATTCGATCAACATCAAATGCTCTGATAATTGATAAGAGCAATAACTTATGGTAGCAAATTTTGTTTGATTGGTATTTTCAAGAAAACATTTTTTCAATTGCTCAATAATCTCGAAAATTTTCCAAATAATTGAGAAAATCGAATTATAGAAAATACCGGCAATATATGTATAGTCGTAGACATTTAAAACTTCTACTGTTGCTAATATCAACGTTCTAGGCATGGTGTATTTTTTGAACGATTAAAATTGTTTCAGTACAGTTCATTTATTTGAAATTAAAATATTTCGATGTCTTTAGTCGTAAAATTTCAATAAAATAAGAATTTGAAAATAAAATAAAATAGAATGGACAAAGTCTCGATAATGTAGCTAATTTAGTATACCGGAGAAAACTTTCAAATACTAAATAATACTTTTTAAGTATTAAATCACACACATATATGGCACTTAGCTCTTATTGTAAAGTAGGGCAAAAATGAATCACAATTTACTGACTAATTTAAAAATCTACTCGTATTCAACTTATGCATATATTAAACAATTTTACAACTACATTTATACTTACTTAATATGTGTATGATAACTAGTAGTCGGATTTATATTCTCTTAAAATCCTTAAAATATTATGTTTTTATGTCATTTAAAAAAATTAACTAATTAATGCATGGTAATATTGATAATATGAATAATATTGATCTGACTTAACATGAGGAATAATTTTCTTATATAATTGTACAAACGTAATTTTAACATAAATATTTTATAAAAATTGTTTAAATAATATTTAAGTTAGGAGAAAGGTAAAATGATAAGTTTGCCCCCTCAATATTTTTTCTGGAGGGACAACTGCCCCTTCATGCCCGCCCAAAATGCCGCCTATGAAATCACAGAAATATTAATATTAGTGTACTATATAATTCAAATATACCTAATAAAATATAATTTTATATTGATAATTTATAACTTAAATCTATATCAACCTCCAAAATGTTATCATTTAAAAATAAGTATTTATAAATAACGATAGATACTATAAAGCAAGCATCAATATTTTCTCAAAACTTAATATATAGATAGGAAGTTAAATATAACAAGAAAAACTAAAGTAAAATATGAACTCGGTAATTTATAACTTTAGTACACATACAATTATTAGGTACTCAATTATTATACTTTGAACATACTGTACATTTTATGACTAATTTCTTGTCATATGATAAGATTGAAGGACGCAGTTATACTTAGAGGAACATTAAAGTATTACGTCAGCAGATCGGGAGGAAGGAGTTCAAAAAATCTGACAGTATCTTACATTAGAGGAAGGGTCTAATCTCAAATCTGATGTAACAATTGAAACTATCAAAATTTGAATTAATACGCAAAAAAAGCATAAATCGATGAATTACCAACAGCATCGAAGATTTATTATTCTTATTATTTTATTTATTTAAATGATTGAAAAAATTAATTTTAATAATAAAAAAATAAATAATTTAGGTGGTCTATGAAAAACGTTGACGTAAAGTAGGAAAGTGTGTAGTGAATTTAACGCTACCTAATCTGTCATTTATCTCCGAAAAGTAACTAGTGTTTTCAAACTTTTTACACGTTCTAAATGCCGATTAATCACAGAATTTCAATTTACAAAAACCTTCGATTTAAATGCAAAACTTATTTAATACATGCACCCACACATTAATATATTAGTAATTTGAATCGTTTATTAATTGTTATTAATTATTAACCTTAAGTTTAGATACCTAATACCAATTAAATATAATTTAATATAAGAACTAATTACTAATTACAGGTTACTAATGTAAAGGTTCAACAATATCGACAAAAAACTTTTTGTAAAAGATACTACAGAGAACACAGCGTACTCGACAATGTGTGAAGCTAAAATCCCTGAGATATACCTAATACCTACCTACGTTATAAGAAAAGAAAATCATTTAAATTTTGTTCATAATATAAAAAAAATTCCGCTAAAATACTTCACTTAATATGCAAAACTATAAAATAACAGTGATAGAAAACCGAAATGTTTAAATTAATATAGTTTACTATAAAAATATTACAAGTGGCCCAACCTAGTCATAGCTACGACCATTTAAGAGCACAATCGCACGATCGTTCAATGAACTAATGTGATTAATTGATTTTGAAAGGCTTCTAATCAGTTTTTGAGCGTTTAGCTCTTAAATCTCTATGAATACTTGGTAGGTACCAACTAATAAATTACGTACGAAAATACGAGACCTAATTTATACGTATTAGCGAAAATATTTCGTGGTTCCAGAAACTCCAAGGCAGAATAAACGTAGGTTCTGTGTTCTATATAAGACCGTTTTTATTATTTTTGTTTACATTTCAGAAAGAAAAAAAAACGATAAATTAAGTAGCACTAAGTAATCCCTATCTGCTAGAGTGCATAATGCGTCTTACGGTTAAAATGACGTGAACTTTTTTAATTAACGGAATACTTTTTAATAAAACATGGGTATTTATTCCACCTATCTGTTTTCACTACCGCGAGCAGATTCGTTTCAAGTATACGAGGAATATAAATAACAATGTGGAACCGAAAATAAATAATATTTCACTTACCGTTATAGATGATCAGATAGAGTGTCCCCAGCACTTGCAGTCGGCACCGCAACATGATTGGTGTAGCCGGTCGGGAAAGCTGAGTCTTTCCGGGACTAGTCACATTGGAAAAAAAAACCCGCGTTACGCACACACGCAAGCGACGGCCGTCCGAATAATAGCAAAAGTTGGCAAACGTCTGCGGTAGTGTTGATTTTTTTTTTAATTTTTCCCGGACATACAAAAACGATATCGAGTCTCTTAGTGCGGAAGACGTATGTACACACGCGATGACGCCGTCACGATAATATTCTAATCAACCGTACGGTTTTTCGGGAAAAAATGAACACACGTAATTTTATTTTAGACGTCGGCAGACGACAACGGGCAACCGAAACGAAAAAAACAAACACACAGAACCAACGACGGATCAACACTGACGCGCGCGCTCCGCATTGCCGGTATTGCCGCCGTCGCCGCCGCCGCCGCCGATCCCGTCCAACCCCTCGAGGTGCGTAAAGCGTAAAGCGCACCCGCGATGCCTGACGGAAAAAGCCGCGACTAATCCCCTCCGGTGGTGTTCGGTTTTGGTTTTTTATTTTATATTTTTATTTCTATCTATCTCTCTCTCTCTCTCTCTCTCTCTCTCACACACACTCTCAACCGTTTAAATGGAAACGTGTACGATCTATAAATTACGGTGTTTTCTGTGCCCCGTGATGATTTCTGTATTTATTATATTATATTAATCATTATTATCGTGTGTTTCAACGATATATTTATATATTATTGCTGTTGCGCTGTATCAATATTTTTTTTCCTTTTCTGTTTATTATATTATTATCGTGATCGGTATAGGTACACGGATTATGGATAAAAGTAAAAAACCTTTTATTATAATCCTTTTCAAAAGAAAAAACGTTAGTCGCATGATAAAACTCACGGTATAATAAATCATAAGCTAATTGTTATTATTATTATTATTATTATTACATTAGATAAGTCCCAAAATAATATCTGATATTAACTTTAATACGTAATCAGCTCATATAAATGTAATAAAGTTAGTCCATGCAGCACTTGCTTATATACAATAAATAAACAATTACTTATTATATTATTATTATTTAATATGAGTTATATTAATATTATTCTATTGTTGTAAGTCACGAATGGTCATCTACTTTCAAAGTAAAGTTCCTACTATGTAGGATTATATCTTGGATTAACGATTTATTTTACCTCCGCACACGCCGCGACCGTCACAAATAAATAAACAAAACACTTACGATGCAAAAACAATATTATGTACGTGATATGTTTAAATTGTTTTTTTGTTTTATATGTGTATAAAATTGTTATGTCGATTACACATAAAAATGGCAAAAATTTTTAATAATAGATTTTGTATATGGCATACGATATTATATTTTATAGTACGAATGTTACATTACTAATCTATATCACTATATTATATATTCCTTAGCTCTGGAGTGGAGTCCTTATTAAAAACCATAAAGTCTTACTGACGATTGTTCTATCATTATATTTTCTATGTATGTATATATTATTGTAACAATAATGATAAATGTTTTTGTTTACAAGACAAATTCACAATTTTCTACTCGAACAACAATTATTTAAAAAAGTATTTAAATAAATAAGTATAATAAGCAGGTAATATAGTAAGTAAATCAAAAATTGGTATACATCCACAATAAAAATTATACCAAGAATTTGCCCAAGTAAAAATATACAATTTTTGAGAAGATTATTATTTACTCTTTAACAAATAAAAAAAACATCTCTGTGGATTTGAATTATCGGCCTTATTTAAAGGTTTTTACGCGCTTTAATTAAAATTTTATTTCAATTACAAAATATGATATTTCATCACAAAATAAAACGTAAGTAAATCCTTAGTGTTCCAATTATATATTTATATAACATGATTTTTTAAATAATTTTATAAACGTACCAATATTTGCAAACTTGGGGTGTATTTTTTTTCATACTCGTATATTATTGTGATGATTAAGAGGCCCGAATTAATTTACCGCAGGCCTTAAAAATCCCTAGGACGACTTTGCAAGTATAATTTTTAATTATTATTTACATCATACAATCATATATAATGGAATGAGTCATGACATTGGCCGACACTCAGTTGCCTTAATCTTATTATACTCAATTCAAGAATAAATGAAAAAGAAAAATATAAGAGATACATACGAAAAATATTATTCTAGTGCACAGCTTAATAAATTACAAACAATTCTAAATTATAACAATGACTTAAGTCTTGAAATGAAACCTATACAAAAAAAAAAAAATAAAAATAATATTATATTTATATCGGTCTACTTTCATAACTCACAAATTACATAATATAGCTTGGTGTGTTTCGTCCAAAATAGTTATTGTTAAAGAATGCCTAAACAATACACATTTTTAATTTATACGTTTGTTTTGTTGTTATTGTTGTTATTGTTACGTTCGGTTCCTAGAGACAGGTGACAGACATTATTATTATTTAGCAAAATTTAAGAATATCTTATGAGATATTGATTCAAGTGAGAAAAAACATTTTCGTCTGAGATCCATAGCAGTTTTATATACTAATTCTTGAGGCAACGTTAAAATTTATAAATTTATCACATGTATAATTTAATACATATACGAAGAATTATAATGTAAATAGTTTTTAGATAGTTGTATTAAATACGGTTATAATAGTAGATTACATTAACAGCAGTATTAATTAATATATATATTAGTGTGTTTTTATATTAATTAGTTTCTCTACATCGAAAATGTTCGAAATCAAATTCAGACCACGCGTTGACTTCACTATAAACTAATGAAAAGTAACTATAAAATTATGCTTGATGAATTATGAAAATGAGAAAAAATGTGTGCACGTAGTTCAGAAATAAATAATTCTTATAATTATCAGTAAGAAATGGTTGATTGATCATATTTTCCAACCATACCATTATATATTATTTATTACTTATTAGTAATAAGTAATAAGTTATTACTGATATAAGTACGCGAAGGAAATATATAAAGGAGAGTATTATTGTGAACTGTTTAATCGTTGAAGTTCAAATTTCATTGTGCTTCAAATAAATGTGACTACATTTAATTTTTACGTTCCGACATAAGTATTCTATAAGTACGTAAATTAAATTAATATTCACCTAAAACAGGACCATATTTAAGTTATGGTTAGGAGGGGCAATATCCCCCTGGCAAATATGTAGAAGGGGTAACATTTAGGAATTTGATTAAGGTAAAAGGGCGGTAAATTTATTCAACTCCAAAATAAAATAATTGTAAATCCAACACTTATTTAGTAAATTATTTTCCATAGCAGTGGTTTTCAACCGGTGTGCCGCGATAAATTTATAAATTGTTTTATAAGTATTATTATCGATGTTTGAAGAAAACACGTACCTGAAGTTAGCCCACCCTTATTAACGGATTAACTCGAGACCTACACAAATATATATATATATATATATATATATATATATATAGTTATTTGCGAGTCTATTTTTATAATTTACGAATTAGCCGTTTGCGAATTATAATTATAAAACAGAAGAGTGGGCCAACTACACGTAACCCATCCATGTCGCCCTAGAATATCTTAATTGGTCTTTATCTGCGAGAATTCGCAAGTCCATTTTCAAAATTTGCGAGTTCACCCCTTACCCGCAAACCTCATTTTCCTGCCGTTAAGTTAGCCCTCCCATTACATTAAATATTAATGACCGTTTGGCTATTTGGGCAATATTGATGGAGAGATTAACTTCACGTAGCCTCTCCAAGTCGCCCTAAAATTTCAAAATCGTATTACATTTTTTTAATTTTATTCAAATTATTTTCAAAATATTTGATAATTTTATGATTATGGAATTAAATTATTATTGTAGAGTATTGAAAAATTACATTATAATCATAACGAAAATCATAACTATACGATAAACTAACGTGTAAAAACACTCTGCTGGGATTTAAAAAATAAATATTTTATAGACTAATAAGATTTCTCTATCGAATTTTGGACAGCAACTTCTTAACGAATGTTGTAATGTAACATCAAAGAAAACAATCAATAAATACAATTTTTTTATTTCTAACTTTTTGATTATTATTTATTATTTTGATATTATTTGGTAATTCGTGAAATAGTTTTATTCCCCTATATATATATGTATAAAACATTTTAATCATAGTGGTGTTTAGTTTAAATAATATTAGATTCGTATTAAAATCCTTCATTTTTAGATTCTGAGTGAAGCCAAAGATGGTTTTATAATAAAACGTTCGTGGAACCGATTAACAATTATTATTGGAAATATTTCCAAGAAATATAATTACAATTATTCTCTTCGCGTATTATTTATGGTGTGGGCGACATGGAATTGTACAGAGCTGCCACGTCGCGTTGTCCCATAGAATTTGTATTTATATACAGTCTGTACTATTCCATGTATAAGCAGTTTAAAATCTTTACTCATTACCAATAAAGGGGTGTGAGATTAATATCACGTATAATGAGAACAGCACATTTATTTTAGACCGCAAACCGCCAACGCTATGTATAAACATAGTAGTATATCATAAATCGTAAGTAAAATTGATAAATTTCTAGTCAGAAAGACCATGCATAAAGTTACATTATTTATAAACGTCTATCGGAATGATTTCTTATAGTTTTTGTATTTAATAATAATAATACAGCTGTAGTAATAACTATACGGTTTGGAAAAATAGACATTGTTGCATAATTAATGTTAACTTGATACTTAAATATTTCGAACAATTAGGGGCACCGAGAGAACGGTGAATTGTGTCAGGGGCACGAAATCGTTCTTCCAACGTATTCATTCAATTTTTATCTAACCTCACCGATAAAAAAAATAGTGTTTTCCAAGTTTCCTAGAAGCACGAGCGAAACGTCTACCAACATCACTGACGGGAAGTGTATGAATAATTAAGTCGACAATAATTCCGTGCACAGTGTGTGTTCGTCGATCTTTGCACCGGAATTCCCCTCCCCTCCCTTTGCAAGTCACCAAGGTCGTTTACAAGTTATTTATAGCGCTGGCACGTTAACGCAATCAACCCGTGCACAGATTTCAGTTGGAAAATATGCCGACGATTGATCGCAATTGAACAACTCATCAATTATTGATACGCGGACCGGATCAGACGACCAGGTACGTGTTCCGAGTTTGATTTCGGGGGAAAGATGAAATTTCTAAATTAAATCGTAAACCGTCATGGAATAGAATATTATCGCTAGTCAATCATAACTCATCGTAAATTACATCATTTGTTTTTATTTTTAGAAATATGTCCACAGACACAACAAAATTATCGTACATAACTGTGATCGTAACGAATATTAATCGAAGCATACATTTTTTTCCGTGACAATTTAATC